GTTGGAGAAATGGGAACTGAAACACAAAATTCCCTGACTTTGTACTCCAGTGGCAGTAACACACTATTCTTCAGCCACTGCAAGGAATGACCAGGTTACACTGTTGCCTGGAACATGCCAAGTCACTTGATAGCATGACCCTATAATTTGGTCTCTAGGCATGAAAGAATGAAGTATCCTCACTGGAAGAGTTTGAAAGTGAGATTCTTCAGATACTTCAGTTGCTAAGCTTCAAAAATTTTCCTTGGACTTATGGTGATTTTCATTTACACACATACACACACGTACGTATATATATATAATTTGCCACATTTGAGAAAAATGTCCAATGAAATGGCAAAGAATCATATGCACAGAAACATCCTGAAAGCAGATACTCACTTTCAAGTGTTAGGACATCTTAATGAAGGCTGTATGATTTTTTGTTTTTCAAACAAATAATTTCCCTTGGTTTCATATCAACTTAATAAAAAAAAAAAAAAAAAAAAAGAGTGAAATACTTCAGTTGAACTTCTCCCAGTTCCTTACGTTTGGATAGATAGCAGGAAAAGAAAAATATTCAGTTTAATGATTTGGTTTAAACAATTAAGTTTGGCAAAATTTTAAGAACGTAAGAGCAGCGTATTCAGTGGTAAGATCTTCAGGGTAGGAACTGGGACCTGTGTGTTCTCTAAAGTGCACAGGGAAACTGGGTCCTATGTGTCCATTAATGTTTACATACATCTCTCTCCTGTCAACAATAACATCCTGCACCAAACAGCTTGCCTGTCACTCCCATGTGTGTGGCTTGGTGCATGCTGTTTGGGTTGGCTTCCTTATCTTACGTTGGTTGTCCAAGTGTGTCTTTTTCTGAAATTCAAGAGTTAGCTCAAAGCACCTGAGAAGGGGTAGATTTGTGAGCGAGCCCCTCTCCACAGATTGATGTGTGTGTAGTGACACACACCCAGAGGGACAATTCAACATCCCTACAGTGTCTGGCAGGAATTCCTCTTTCTTCTCCTCACTGACCCCCTTGGGTTTCCTGCTGCTGGTTCTCCCCACTGGAAGAATGTGAGCGCCAATTATAATGTCAGAGGCTGCAGGAGAAGATGCTGGATGCTGCTATATGAGCAAAACCAGCCAAGTGTCCGAGTTTCTGTTTAAGCAACAGGATCTGACAAAAAGTGAACACAGTCTTTTTCTGAGCCTGAGTGAACTAGGGAATCATCCACACTCCCCTAAGACTAGAGACTCAGCAGAGTTTCAGTGGGCATGTTAAAGTCCATCCCTGTCCTAGGAAAGTGTCCTCTTTTTGCAGTGAGTAGGATTTCTCCACTGAAATAATTCCTGAGCAAATTAATGTCTCTTTAAAAGAGGTTGAAAGCACAGGCCAACCAGGAGAAGACACAGTATTCCCCATGTTGAGTGAGGTTACCATGGCAGAGTCCCACTGCTAGAGTCACATTTTTCTGCTGCTGTACCATATGCTTCCCAGAAAGGTCTGTTATTTAAGTTTCCTTATATATCTCTCAGAAAAGGGTGCTGTTAGATAACAAAAATCTGTCCATTTCTTTATGGTTTGATAAGTGGTAGACCAAAGACAAGGATTATTGCACGGATGGATGTTTTGTCAGGGTCATGAACCAGCCCACATAGATTAATTTTATAGTTTAGACTTCCTGTGGTTGCCATTTTATCAGTCACTGTAAGCAGCCAGCAGGGTCTCACTTCCTCTTTGAAGAATGAAGCATTTTAAATGATGAAATGGTATTAGTAACTTGGCATAGCTGTGGGATAAGATCTTTAAAAAAGAATGTGCCTGTACCTTATGCATATGCAAACAAATGGCCATAACTGGCTCTGGACAACGAGTGAAGGAAGGGCTAGTATGGAAAGCTGCAGGACAACTGCCAGGGGAGTTTACAAGTACTAGCTGGAGTCTATGGTGTAGAGAGAGGATAAAACATGATAGTACATGATGGGATGTTGCACAAAAGGAAAAGAAATGAGAGCGGGGAATAGTGAAAAGAGAAGTTGGAAAAAAAGAGAACCTTTGGAGAAGGGAGAAGAGAGCAGCAGGCAGCAGAGGCAATGGCATATATTAAAACATATAGAAATTAACAAGTACAGGGAGGAAATATTTTAACACTGTAGGAGGATAAGCTTGCAGGCAACTTCTGTTTATTTCCTTGGACAGAAGTAGGCCCTCACGCTTTATAGAACAAGCAAAGCTGTCTCTGCTTATGTCAGCTGACTGAACTTTCTCCTTCAGATGCAACCATTATTTATTTGTGTAACCATGGCTGCCCTCCCCGTCATGCAGGATGAGCGTGGTTGGAAGTATTATGTGAGTGTCACTTTCAATGAGACAAAATTCCAACACCTAGGGCCAAGAGATCGATCTGAAGCATTTTCTTCTTGAACAGTTTAACCTCAACTTTTTTTTTTTTTAAGAAAAATGTGTTTTTAAAGAGGAATCCACTGATGAGTATTTCACATAGTAGCTCTGATTTGAGACCCTATTCAAGATATCTACAGGGTTGTATTTGCAGAGGTTTCATCATAAGCAAACAATACTCAGTAGGCTCACAAAATAAAGACTTATTATTTCCCATCTGTTTTGTCATTTAGCATTTTTCCATCATACACTGACACTTCAAGCTGGTTTAGTGTGACAGAGAGATTGCTCACATCATCAGTCAGAGCTCAGGCTCACGATCCTGGGCTGAAGCTGCAGGTCAAATCCACACTAAATGCTTATATTGTCATAACAGCCTGATGGCCATTGGAAAACTCTTTCTTTCTTTCTTCTTTCATTCTTTCTTTTTTCTTTCTTTCTTTCTTTGCTCAGTTTTCCTTGGCCACAGGTCCACATCCTATTAAGGAAGGAAGGACAAGCTCTCATTTAAGAATTTCCATGGAAGTTTTTGTAGAGACCATGAAAGCAGAGACATAAAGGAGAAAATCCTGCAAAGTGGAGAACATGCCAAACAGAAGGTGGCAAGCCCATCACAAACCTGTCACAGACAGGAAAAAACCTGTGCAAGATCATTGGGCACCTTCTTCTGGTGAAGAGAGAGAAAATGCCTGTCCTTCAGTTTCTATCACTGCCTGGCTGCCATGAGAGTCCTCTGAGCTGTAAGAAATCATTTTAACAAATCATTATCACATCACTTTAATTTATTCAACCAGCAAGGATCTAGAATTATGAGGCAAATATGTAGAAAACCCCCACCCATTTCCCTCAGGGAAGGTTGCATATAAAGACCTATAGAAAAGTCAGGGTTTCTAGAATGACAACTCACCTTTATAAGAAAAGGAAAGGATTTAGATAGTTGGTTCCCTCCCCCCTGTCCCCATAATTAAATACTACTTGTATTTAGTCTAAAGTTCCTTCAGCCAGGGGTCTCACAGAGTATAAGAGAAATATCCCCATTCAGTTGATAAATGCAGAATCAAGCCTTGGATTTCCCTGGATCCAGATACTTTAAGGATTTTTAATTTAGTAGTTTCCACTGAATTAAGAATTGATGAAGCTTCCTTCCACTGCAGTAGCTGGAAGGTGCTGTTTCCAAAATACCTGCTACTGTGCAAGTATGGAAAACCTGATGCTTTCTTGAGGTATATTGAGGAGCTGCAGACCTTTGAAATGTGAGTTGCAAGAAACCTAATTAATATATAAGGCACACACTGTGTTAAAAACAAGGGAGGTGTTATAAGATGGATAAAAAACTTGTTCTCTTGGACTAAGAGGCCTCAATAGGTAATCAAGGCTACTGCAGGTACTTTCATAGATCAGACAGGGCTGTTTAAGGGAACAAGGCTGCACATTAGGTTGTCCTGATAGTGCTTCTCAGCACCAACCAAACCACTGTACACTTAAGTACATGACTCCATGCCTCTATTCCCTGTTGCAACTTAACAAAACAGGGTATCATAGACTTCATTTATTCATCCTTTGCAGCATCTTTGAGATTACAGAATCACAGACGGGTTGAGGTTGGCCGGGACTTTTGGAGGTCATCTTGTCCAACCTCCCTGCTCAAACAGGGCTGTGCCTCATATGCTCAGATGGTGGGGACTATACAGTAAGCTAAATTGGTACTATCTAATCATCATTTTCAAATAGGAAATAGTTTCAGGTTGAGGCTCATTGTTCTTGAAATGCAGATGAACACATGCCATCCTCTCCCCCTCCCGCCTCCACTCAGACCCAAAACTGGTATCAAAATTGGCAGCTGCCTTTATATTTTTCTTTTGTTCTTCATTCATGAACACAGCTAACAATGACTTTGAGAGAGAAAAGATATGAAGACACTAAATATCACATTTCATCAGATGAACCCTCTCTATCTTCACATTTTAAAGTACTTTGGACCAGCTTCATTAGAAAGGGTTAATCCTTGAGCCCACAGACCAAAAGGTAACTCATTCCCACCTCACTATATCCCCATCCACGGAGGAGTGGGACTGCAGATGTCAAGGGTGCAGGGTGCCCAGGAGGAGCACCCCAATCTCTGGTCCCATCTCAGATGGTGCCCACCTGCCATGGCATCCAGTACTCCTGAGCCATACTCAGCTCAGTCTGACCAAAGAGGAAACCAGCATTGGAGCAGCATGGGCAGAAGTGCTTGTGCTTCCTCTGGTACCACCAAAGACACCCAACTGCCACAAACCCTGCTTTCTGTGGAAGCTCAGTGAGGTGCAGACAGAAAGTCACTTCAGGCTCTGACAGACTCCCTTGGCCCACGAAATGTATGATGGAGGCCAGGCTGGTGGGACCACCCTGTCCTGTGCCTTGTCCACATGCTGGCAACAGGAGTACTTTGGTTGGGTTGGGTCCCTGAACAGGGTCACAGGGCTAGCAGCCATCTCAGATCACCCACATCCTAAATCATTCAAGGCTGGTTCTCTCCCTCTCACACAGTAACTAGATTGATAGATTGAGATTTAATTTAAAATGATCAGCTACTGCAAGGAGAGGTTTTTTCTTTCTTTTTTTTTTTTTTTTCTTTCCCCAGGCACTTGGTTTGCATGTTTACTGTGCTAAAAACAGTTACGAGCAATCTGGATAGCCCTCTGTTAGCTGTGATGAAAACATTCTCCAGTATATCTGACGGTGCCTGCCACTGAAGAGGCCCAAGAAACGCTGCAGCTCGATGGGGAATAAGCCTTGCTTTCTAAAATGACACATTGAAGACCTGATGCTGGCTTTCACCTGGGATCAGTGCTGCAACACCATCCCTGGTAGGGACTCTGGCTTGTTCATGGTGAGGTCCCTTTGATGATTCTGACAGCCATGACACAGACATTGATGCCTGTGGGCTGCAGTGGGTTACACCCTGTGCCCATCTTTCCTCCAACACAGCATGCTGCTCATAGAGCTGTGTTTGACATGGGTGTGGATGGCATGGTGCTCGCTGTCAGGGCCTGATGCTCCTGGGGGTAACTGCCACATTCAGCAGGGAGAATAACATAACTCTTTACAATCCCTTGCCTTCAGTGAGCTTGGGCACACAAAAACAAGCTTATGCCCACAATCTTTGCAGAAATATTATCCTGGCAGCAGAGTGGGTTAGGACACAGTAGCAGCTCAGAACTCTCAAACCAGATGTGCCCTTTGCCTCAGAAATGACTGACTCCCTCGCAGGACACAGGTGAGGACCACTGCCCATTCAGCAGCAATGCGGTGCCATGGCCATGGCCAGGTCTCCTTCACCTCACTTCACTCTACAGGGCAGCTCGCTGCACCTTGTTCCAGAGGCAGTTATAAAAGCCCTTTCCCTGGCTGCAAAGTTGTTTTCTGCTCCTGCGTGCCACTGCTCATTCCCACACTCATTCTGCAGTTCATGATCTTCCCTCTTGCACCAGTCTTCGGCCATCTGCATGTTCGGTCAGTGTTAAAAAATCCTCAGTAAAGAGTTGCACTGACCTCAGTGGTTAAAGGGGAGCATTCCTGCAAGCAGGGCTGGCAAAAAGAAGAGAAAATTCATCTCTCCCTTTTAGTGATAAGAAATCCATGTATTACCAACTCAGTGCTCCCAAAAGTCCTTCTGGTTTACTTACATACCTCTGCCAAAAATGCAAAAAATTGTCTTTCCTTCCTACCTCACACACAGTATGAACATACATGCACATACACACACACAAATATAAACATTCAGTTAATCTCATAGTTAGGAATACTTTTTTATGTGCTAGTGAGCTGTAGTGAGTCAGAGCATTCCCAAAGCAAAGCTGCTTTATTACCAATTTTTAAAATGCCTCTGTCCATCATTATCAAATATCTTAAATACCCATGTTCAGCAGCATTCTGCTGGTACTTAGATTATGAGTCACTGGGTAATTTAGCCCTGTGAGTGAGATTGTAAACTGTTCTCCCCCTGCCTTTTCCTGAGAGGAGATGCCAGTGGGGGACCTTCATTAATATTCACTGTAATGTACATCTGTTTGCCCCCTCAGCCACTGTATGAAAATACACAAGGAGAGGGGGAAGGGCAGAGGGAGAGCTTCAAAATGTTTGTAGCTAAGGCAGGAGCCAGGGATGCACCCCAGCTGTGTCTGTCAGTCTGACAAGGACAGCAAACATTTACTATCTCTCTGAGCCATTCTTTGTGCCTTTATAAGCATTGAAGCATTTGAAGTAAGAAAGGCACTAACCCTGGCTGAGGAATAATAGCAGAGCTCAGGTTGATAATGTTGCTCCAACTGTTCCGTGTTAGGGCTGGATCTTGGGTGTGGATGCAAGTGACCCACTTAAGATTTTTTGTTGCTGTGGTTCAGAAAACCTCACCATCTACCTTCTGTCCCATTGAGACTCAGCTACGACAGAGTCATACTTCATATTCATCTATAGGAACATCTGGCCCATGTCTAACATTTAATTTCCACACCATTAGAGTCAAACAATACGTGTACATCAGTAGATAATGTAATGCATTATCACGCAAGGCAGAGAGCAGCAATTTATTAGCCTAATTTAAAATAGCCTTCAGCAAAAAATAGTGCATCTTAATTCATGGATCTGAAAGGAATGACATATTTTCCTGTAAAATGCAAAGGTATGAACAGAGACATGCTTTTCCACAGTGGTGCATATATTATTTCTTTTTCTTGTAAATCCTTTAAAAGATGAAATATCAGTTCTTGGTCCAAAAAAAAAAAAAAAAAAAGAGGAAAAAGGAAAAGTTCAAAACCAAGGTACATCCATAATAATACAAAAGGAGAGATCTTACCAAGGGGACAAAAGAGAAAAAGCTGCCCCAGAACACAAGCAAAAGTGACCTTTCCTTTACAGTGAAGTTGTGATCTGAATGAGAAGATCACTCAGACTTTCCAAGCCCATATTTCAACAAATCCAGGCACCTCAAGTGCACATCAAGCGTTTCCTCCCCTTTTTTAAAATCTGTTTCTTTAATCTGTCTTTTCCAATAAGGAACATTCTCTAGATAGGACCAAAAATATCAAAACAAATTAGAAACCTTTGCCGACCTAGGAAAATGAGTCACTTTTCACAAGCCTTTGATTAAAGGCCGTAACTTCCTTCTAGCTGGAAATTAACTTCCCAAATGGCAGAGCAACACCAGGCTTACGTGACACCCAAAGTTCAGTTCACTGAAGCAGGATAAATTCTCTCACTTCTGGTTAATAAATACATCATGGGCTCTGACAATACTGTTCAGCTTCTATCTCTAACGTACCCAAAGTTTACAGCTGTCTGAAGCTGAGATTTGTATTTGGCAGCATTTCTGGCTAACCTATTTTAATTTATCATCAACACGCCATTGAAAAAATACATAAGCAAGGGTCTTGGAGCAAAGACTAAGCCAATAAATCCTGAATTGTTTTTCTCACAGTGCTGCTAGGAGAAGTAGGGGGTTTCCATGTTGCACTTGGGATACAGCCTGGAGGTGGGAGAGTGCCCACTATCTCAGCAGCACTTTAGAAGAAACCAGAATTACGTGGGCAGCTCAATCCTGCTGGCACGTGTCAGGTGCTCTGACAGTTTCTTGGTAGACTTAGGTATGATAACCCATAGTTTTGGATTTGAAGAGTTTGAGCTCTGCTGAAACTGAAACTATGCAATATTCAAAGCAGAACTTTTAGATGACTAGGAAACATTTTTTAGGTAAAAAAGCTTAGCTTAAATATCTGTGTCAGTGCCACCTTTGTTTGGCAGCGCCTGAATGGGGATTACCAAGATCTCAGCTGTGGACTTTGCCCCAGACAACATATAAATGAAAAGTCTAAACAAAAGAAGCCTTAAGGTTAGTGATTCTTTTGGCATTAAAGACAGTTATCTCCTCTTTATCATGAAGTGCTCCTTTCAAGTGGGCTTCCACAGGATAGCAGAGGGAGGATTAGTCATGTGGATTTATAAACATTAAAACACAGAGAAGAAAGAGAAAAATGTCAGAAATCCCATTCTGACCATGTCAGAAAATGTCAGAAAACTCATTCAGTTCATGTGGGTACCCTTCTGGTCAGACAGGGGCAGGACCTGCCTGTGCACCATCTACAATATCACAACTGTACTGAGGCCAAGTGGCTGGGCTGGGAGGGGAAGGATGATGGTGTATGAACACACTGCATTCAGCTCAAGTACAGTCTGACAGTGACTCCAGGAGAGAGTTGCAAGTGCCAAGGACAATGAAACTGGAGATCCAGCCCCATGCAGAGCATCCCACAGCAAAACTGTGACAAGGCATGCCTATTAGCAGTGGAAAGGGGAATTATGGAGCTGAAGCTGAAAAATTGATGTGTTTGACTGAATTAAACGAATGTTTAATAAAAGAGTTTCCTGCTTGGAGAAGGGCTGATACTCTTATACTTATAAAAATATTCTGCTACTGACTTAAAACACGAAAAGAGGCAAGAACAGGCAGGATCCAAAATCCAGGCAGGTGACCCAGCTCTGCAATCAAATAGATCACTGATCTTCTGAAAAGTACTATAAAAGCAGAAGGTCTAGGAGATTTAGAAAGAGTCACACCTGACACATGTCAACAGATAGAGAAAATCTTACACCAAACAAAAGTCATCTCATCCGAATGGCTGGTGTACTGGAAGGCTTTATCTGGATGGTTCACTAGCTGGCTGCAATACAGCTCCATGGCTTAGGGTGGGTGGGGTGGGGGTGCATTGTGTTAAAGAAATGAATGGTGGTACATTAGCAAAAGATTTTGGCTACCCATCTCAGGTGGAAGAGAAGGGGAGAGTCTTCTCTCCACCTGACTCCATGGTATATAAAGCGAACTGGAATAAAACTGGTGTATCTTACCTGACCTTCTATTTACCATCTCTTTAATAAGAGGCATCAGAACATATTCTGCTGGCAAAGTTACTACCCTTGTAAGGATGTAGCTTATGCTGAGATACCTGAATCTGTCTAGGAAGGAAATAAGACAAAGAAAAGGTGCTTGCATTAATGCTGCCTCAGGGCACCAGCAAGTTACGGGTTGGTGGGTTTTACAAGACTACTTACTATGCTATTCAATTAAAAAAAAGAGCAGTTACCATAGCAACACCCACGTCTAATGGCTCTTATGCTACCTCTGAGATACAAAGCACCTTCTTACAGAGATACATTGACCAATACAGCATGTCGTGGGAAGTTTTATGCTTCTAGCAATGGTTTAAGGGGGAGAATGTGTGTTCCAATAACCAGACATATTTATATCCCCAGGTTGTAATATTAATTTATAACAAATTGTTTTCTTTCCTTGATATCTCTTTTATTCTCATTACAATTTCTTTTCTAATAGCACCTCCTTTTTTTTTTTTTTTTCTTTCCTTCCCCCCAGATGGATGATATTTGATTAAGTACAGGATGAGATTTGCATATGGGAGCTCTGGGATATGTCCAGCAGTTAGGTGAGTCATATCTGTCCGTAGATCTCATATCTAGGAAATGCTACCAGTTTATCACAGTTGAGCAGTCACAGCAGCTGAGTGGAAGCCGGGGGCTAGTAGGTGCTTGTGGAATGCAGTTGGACACTATAGGTGGTAAGAGATGGCTTTGCTGTCCTGAAAAGGGATGGAAGGCAGAAATTTTTATTTCCCTTGCCCAGGAGGGAAAAGTGGGAAGGTGAGGTGGTGGTGCATCTTCCCCAGAGGTGGAGAAGAGGGTGTGGAAGTCTCTTTCTTGTCCTTCATTATAGGTATGGTTGAATGGGAAAGAAGTTATATGATGCCTCGACAATGGCAAGAGCCAAGTTAACATCCTCACAGACGTGCTGGAGCTGGAGAGCCACAGTCAGAAACACGAAGAAGAGAGAATGAACAGCTGGGCGGCAGGATGTCCTCCTCACTTCTTGGCCCTCTCTATGGACATTTTACTTCTTCATGACAAGTCACAGAGGGCACGTGCACTGTTCATGGAAGAGCAAGATACTACAGCATACCACATGCCCCATCCCCAACTGCTGCTTTAAATATATCCCTAAGAAGTGGCACATTGCTGGACCACTTTCACTTGGGCAGGACTGGCTGTCGTGGGGACCTTGGAAGGGTGAGGGGCAACGCAAGACTCACAGAGCTGTTTGCCTTTTCCTGGGCAAAGCCCAGCTTGGGGTCTCTGGGTCTCACAGCTTGCATGCCACTTGGGCTCCCGCCGTGTCTCTGAAATGTAGGGTCAAAGCTGACAATTAGTTTCCAGAAACAAAAAAAAAGAAAATGAATCTTCAATAACCTCTGATTTTGAGTCTTCGAATTATCTAGCCAGCCCAGTAGGAGAGGAACAAAATGTTTGTCCTTCCTACACCAAATATTCCTTGTAAATCTAAACAAACAAACAAACAAAAAATCCAGAAAAAATCCTACTGATTTAAAGAAAAATATATCTACAGGTTAATCACAGTAATTACTATTTAGATATAAATTATCTGCAGAAACACAGGACGCTGCTATTGTCTTACTGCAGCATCACTGAAAAATGTCTTTCATTCAAATTACAAGACTGAGTATCAGTTCCATGTTATTTTTCCAGGAACAGAGGGCTCCATGTATTATTTGTGATGTTCCTAATTTTTAATTACCCCAAATTAAAACAATGGAATGATATATGATGAATGAAACCAAGCATATGTTAAAAACGTCTAAACAGTTTTACCTGGGAAAATGAACAGAAACATAAATTGCTTGTAGTGCATATTTAAAAATTCAATAGCAAGCTAAAATTATAATTTGCATTAATGTATTCTGAAATATGAATTATTAAGTGATTCACATTGGTGCAACAAAAGCCAGTTTGGAGAACCTAGCTTTAGCCTGCAGCATTCCTCAGCAGCCTTATCTTCGCAGTCCCCTCTAAATAGTGCTAAATATATAAAGGAGATTCTTCTAATTGCAAAAATGTCTATAAAACACTTTTATGAAAAAAAGAAAACCCTCTACATTTCCAAGCAGCTTTAAAAAAACCCCAACACCTCTCAAACAAAAAGAATCCAAATATTCAATGCTATTCAAGTTTCCTTCCTTTTTTTAACCCCCTTTGTACTTTGCACTCCTGTAATTTTTTTTTTTTGCTTTAATCCCAGTCATCATGTAGGTTTTTTTTTTTTTTTAATCCCTTCATTCTTGCACAGACTTTCATTGTTTAGAGGTCAAGGAAACGAGCTGCTAGAGGAAAGCATGGCAAGAGCCCATGCCTGCAGTGCTGTGGAGTAGCTGGGGACAGTGGTGGGTGTGCAGACTGGACCCGGGGCCTGTGGCAGCATCCTGGAGGAGCACCAGGTGGTGGGACAAGGAGGATTCCCCAGCTGTGGGCCAGGAGCACTGTCTTTCTTCTCTGGACAGTGGCAGAGGGGCAGGAGGGATTGTGCAAGTTGGGAAGTCTGACTGAAACATCCAGTGCTTTATCCAGTGAAATCTTAGTTTGTGGAGTAATACTTCCTCCTCTGCATTGTGTAAGAAGGGGGAAACCTGTCAGCGAGGTTTTCTGGGTCTAGGGCTTGGGCTTCATAACTCATAAAACATCCCTTTATAGGGCATTTTCCCCACCTTGACTTTTTATTTTGGGCTGAGGAAATGAGATTCTGATGGATAGCAAGACAAACAAGGCCTTGTTAAAGAGGGACAGCCCAATGATAGGAAAACAGTCCCAGGTCACTCTTGCACTTCTGTTCTGATGAAGGTCAAGCAATGAGTTTGTGGAAGAGCCGAAGTTCTCACCCTGTATTCCCAGTGCTCTGCTTTCACTGTACAGGCTTGATTTCCCAGAACACTTCCTTAGCTCCAGCTAACTTCAGTGAGAGGACTGTTGCGAAATATCTTTGTCTGCTCAGGGCTGAGATGATGCTGCTTCTCAAAACAGTTTATCAGTCATAAACGCCAGATCTGTGATGAATGTTGTATAGCCCAAGTTTACAGAGTTCTTTCTGAACTGAGACACAAAGCTGAGTGTTTTGGAAATTTAATTTCTCTTCATGCCATGTGATTACAGATATATTCTGACTCACTATTTCCATTTCTCTTATGTATTAGTAAAAAGGAAAAAAATGGTTGGAAAAAATTATCTCTGTAGCATTATTTCTATAAAAATTCATTTCATATGCGAAGTGTTACTCTGCTCTGGGAAAAGTGACACCAAAGGACTTATGTGTAATTATGTGTATGTGTTGTGCATATACAAACACACACATACACAGCGCCTGATGAGCTATGCTAATAAAGAGACAAAAGGTGGATGTGACATTTACCCAACAAAATAAATATAGGTCAAAAAATAAATTGCCACGGGATCATTAGGAGCACAGTTATGCATGAATAGCTTTACATGTCCAGTACTTTGTCACCACACAAGCACCCTTAGGAACCCTGGTTCTCAAGAATAGTTTAATCCTGGTCTTCACACATTCAAAAGGGTTATAAGCCTTGAATTTGAAGAGTTTCTTCTACTTTTGTCAAATTTTTTAACCTGGCTGAATACTTTTGTTATATCCTTAGGTATCAGGTTCTTAAAAAAACCAAAAAACAAAAAACAACTCTGCTACAAACTTGGCTCCTGAGATCTCCTGGAGCAGTGAATATATTAGCTACATACATGCAGGCAGAATAAATCATCTGTCTTTCATTAGATTTGAATTTTCCAGTTTTCTATGTCTTTGAATTTCCCCATGTTCTGGTATCGGAGTCCCTCATGCTCACTGGGAGAGGAGCAGGGAGGGCAGAAGTTGCTGAACAGGTGCATACAAAGCTCCCATATTCCTACCTAGGAGATCCCAGCCCAAAGTGCAGCTCCCAAGCTTGCCCAATGACTCTATGCTCTGTGTTGGTTGACCCGGGGAGACTGAACATCACTCAGATTTTATGGAGATGAAAATATGTGGAAATACTTCTCCCCCTGAACTTCCAGGTGGTCAGGATATGCTTACAGTAGAAATGAAAGAGGAGTGTCTACTCTGGTCCACTTTGCCCACACTTATTTCAGACATCCCTTTCACGCTTTGCTGCTTTTCATAAGATGTGGTCCCTAGTCTGAAGTAAACATGGGTAAAATGACCTGGCTCCACCTCTGCCTGAAGATGCATTTCCAGGTAAACACATGGGCCCCTAACAGATGCTTCTAGCCACTGGTGGTCTAGAGTGGCCAGATCACCCCAGTTCTCCACACGGAAGAGAACCAAGGCTAACAGTTCTCCCAAGTCATCCTATGCCTCATTGTTACCTGTATAAAACCATGTGCAGTGAAGGGGGTACCTCATCAACCATGGGGGCTGAGCACCCTGCTTCACATTCCTTTCTGGCAAGATTTCCAATGTCTTCCTGGCCCAGTGAGCCTGATGTGGGTAGAATCCCTTTGGGGCATCTCATAGCTGGGTTTCAGGACTTCTCCCGTTCCATCTATCTGCTGAGCCTCATTAACTGGGGCAGCAATTACTGCTCGGGCCCCTTCTTGGACACTGCTTGCTCCCACCTGCCGAGCTCAGACGGGCAGTGGTGAGTCAGGGGCCGTGCTTGCCCATTTCTCCACATTGTTTCACGTTCAGTTAAAAACAAAGCTGTCAGTAATTAACAAAACATGAGATATTTGAGAAACCAGATTTGCCAAGCTGCTATTTTAGCAAATCATAACGGTGTCGCTGCCAAAATCATCACTTCTCTTCTCCTCTCTGCCCCCCTCCTCCAAAATCAGCTGTATGCTGTGAAATTGAAAAACTGTGTGTGCAGGAATAAAGTGAGGTTCAAGAAGAACTGTCATTTTTTGGTTTGTTACACTACCAATGTAGAACATGCCATAAACAAAGTTAAGGGCACTGCCTAAAAATTCTTGCTTCTTTGAATTTTTCTTGTTGTCTGAGTAATAATAAACAAAGTGGTCCCAGTCGAGCAAAAGAATCACAGACCACAGAGTTTTATGAAAAAAAAATTCTTCCTTTAGACAGAGGGAAATTCAGGCTGGTGGAGTTTTAGTAATTCATACAATCTGTAGTAAAGCACACAGATCCAAGGGCCCAGTCCAGCCCATTAACTGCTGGACTGCAGTGTTGTCACCTCCTGTGATGAGCTTCATTGCAGGATGGGCTCCCAACATCAGAAGTTATTACAGGCCCCATTCTGCACCACACTTATTTATTGTTTTAGGATGTGCATAACTCTTGTATCTCACAAACTTTAATTGGAACAGAAAGCTCTCACTCTCTCACCAGAGTTGTATAGCATTAAACAAAACCCAGTTAATCCTATTCGATATAAACCTTATTGTCTAGATATGTGTTTAAAGAAGCTAAATATTCACCAAATTTTAGGCTTTGTTCTGAGTTCAACCCTGTTAGGAAATGACCTTGACATTTCTAAGAAATCAGGCAGAAGTCAGGTACTAGACAGAACAAGATTCCCTAGGAGTTTTGTTACAGGAACAAAGCTGTATGAGGTCAGGCATTAAATAGGGTGGAAAAAGCTGTATTAAAATCCTGAGTCAAGACCTGCATGAGTCATCAGAAATTTTCTGTCTGACTTCTGTGGACCCTGGATCAGTCTGTGAAACAACATTATGATTTCACATGTCAGTATTCAAACTTCGGGATGTCAAAGTTAGGATATTTACACTGCCTCAAGGCATTTGGATTTGGTAGCACTATTCTTCATATAACCCTTCTAATAGGAGAGAGACAACTTCTTTTAAAAGCCATGTAATAAATGTTGAAGAATAATTTATTACTGGGATGCTAATGTTAAACTCACTGATGTAATCGATTAGCACATCTTTGTTGACTCATGGTGACATTTTCTGAAGTGCTTAAACAGCTGAAGAATACAAACTAATTAAAATGAATTTACGTCCCTTCAACAAAAGGAGGCATTTTCAAAGGTGTCCAGTTAGGATTCCATTTTCCCACTAGAAATGGGGGAAAAATGAGTATCAGGTTCCTAAAACCGGTTTTGAAAATCTTACCTTTAATATTTCAATTTCTATATTTTAGTATTTTTCCATTCCAATACATTTATGCAATAACTGTCACTCCATACTGCTCTTCTAACAGGTACTTTCACCAAACACAGCAATACTGCAATACTCACATAACCAAGATAACTCTTCCAGTACTGCAGCATCACACTTCTCAACATGTGAGACAATGTCTATCCAGGGATTTGATGGAATTTCTTGGAGTGCTTTAGCTTCTCTCTAGTTTGCCACTCTCCTCTCGCTGGTTGTCTCCTATCACAGACTGTCCCTTAAAGTTAAAATAGTCTGCCACTGGCTGTGAGTGCATACGCAGGCAAAAAGTTGCCTTATGATTCCTAACAGTGATCCATCTTGTCTGAGAACTTTGCTGAGGATTTTTATTCTGTTGTGCCCTTTCATGGGAGCTATATACATTCCGTGTGCTTTATGCACTGTTAATATGCACGTTAGCTTTTACGATTACTCTGACCTCTTCCTAAAGGCATATTTATAGGCATAATTATTTCATGCTAAGTAGAGCAGCTTCAGGTTTTGAGGAAGTTTCTTTGCACCATTTCCAACAGTGCACGTGGGAGCACTAGATTCCAGTGTTCCTTCAAAATTGGGTCTCTCATATCTGAAGATATTGGGTACACAACCACATATCCCCTTATCTCCTCCCAGCATTAGCTCTCAAATGGAATTTAGGTGTGCTCTGGTATCTCCTATTTGGTTGGGCTTTAATAACAGCTATTAAACACTGGGGAAACCCAGAGCTTGAGAAACCCACTAAACCTTTGGTTTGGGGAGGTAGGCCTCTAACGAGCAGCTCAACAGTTACGTGGCTTAAAGGGTTTTGCAGGTCACCACAAGAAGAAGGGTGGCCATGGGAGGGCTATAGGTATCTCCACAGTTAGCAGGCAATTAAGGGTTGTAAGAAGAAAGTCCATGGTGTTCAAAAACTGAAGTTAGACCGCTCAGAGTTGCTGTTTAATCTGCTGCTGATCCACACTAAGATATTGTCTCTTCTAGCCCAGCCCCAGGCACGACTGGTTGGCTACCGTGTCCATAGCACATCTGCAGGATTATACTCCAACCCAGTTAAGGCAAACAAACCAATCTTGTTTATCCTTAACATTTTTGATAGGTTTTTTGTTGTACTTTTTTTTACTTAGACCATTTTGGCCAGGTAGGGAGTGACAATGATACTGGCAGCAGATCTGAACTCAAGAGAAAAGGGAGGTAAAGGAAGATAACTGATGAACAGCTGAAGAGGGACAGTGTTTGTTAATCTATTAGTTCATATCAGCTGCAGCCAAAAGAGATGGTTTACATCTGATTATAACCTTTGTCTTCTAGAGAGCTCTGAGTCCCTTGGTGCACCTTAGCAGTTTCAAGAAATTATCTGCTATCTGCCTATCCTATCTTGCTTAGGTATACAAGTAAGATATTCCTTACAGCCCCTCCATCAGACACTCTGGAGACATGAGACAGACGATTCCAGTCTGGATCCATTCCACTCCAATTATCCACTGTTTTTTTGTAACATA